CATTAAGAGGTGGGGCTTTTGTAATTAGATCATGGGAGTAGAGTTCTCATGAAAGAAATTGGTGCCCTTATAAAAGAGGCTTCAGAGAGACCCCCCTCCTTCCACCATATATTATCAGAGTAAGAAGATGACTGTCTTTGTGGAAGGGGATTCCTAACAGACACTGAGCCTGCCAACTCCCTAGCCTTGGACTGTCCAGCTCCAGGTCTAGGAGAAATACATTTTTGCTGTTTATAAACTACCCAGTTTATAGGATTTTGTTATAGCAGCCCAAACAGCCTGACAGATGTCTAGGCAAATGGTAATGAATATTAAGTATGCAATTCGGAATGATATTCTAAAACTTATGGGAGAAATCAATGATGGAGATTTAAAACTGAGGAAATGTTTTTGAAAGGCAAAGGGATAGATTGACAGCATTTGAAGAGAAGATTTAAATTGATAAAAAGCAGTTTTTGTGATCAAGCCCTAACTCAAGGTAATGCTGAGTGGTGAACATGCTGAAAAAGGACCTTGAAAAGAAGTGGCTTTAAGGAAAGGGGGAAAAGCAGGATAGTATAACATCTTGGAAAAAGGGGCATTTCCTAGGAAAACAAATTTGTGAAATGCTGCAGTGAAGCTAGACTACAGTGAATATTTGCACTCATATAGGACACATGGGTAACCTTGATGGACTGATAAAAGCAATTTGTTGGTGGAACAGTAAAAATGAGAATTTCAGTTGGGAACTGGAAATCCTGCCCAGCTTTATCATTGCGCATATGAGTAAATAATTTCATGGGTACTTGACTCTGTGATGGTGTTGAGAAAAAGGTTGTTTTCTTTCTTAAATGGGAAATGCTAGAATATGATTTCATACTGATAAAGCTTATTCAATAGAGAGAAGAAAGAGATGATGCAGAAAAGAGAACAGTGGCACAAGAGGATTACTTTGTAAGGAGAGAAGACTGTCTAATCTCAGGGAGCCATCCCAAGAAGAGTACAGCGCATACTACATGCTAGACAAGTCAGGGATGTGGAAAAATGCCCAGAGAGTGATGTATTATTGTGAAAACATAACAAAAATCCTCCATAATACCAATTCCAATTTTCCAAATTTTTCATTCAGTCAGATATCCAATAAACATAATTTGACCAAGCCCTGAGGACAAATGTAGAAGAAAAGGCAGACAAAATATATGCATCCTATATATATGCATCCTATACTCTAATAGGAGAGGTTCAATTAAAAATAATATTTAACACTAATGGAGCTTGTGATAATTTTATGTAGAAAAGAAATTTCACATTAAGGAAAGTGTGGAACTTATATTTTATATATGATGGTCAAAGAATCTCTCTCAGTGGAAATGTCATTTGTGAGTTGATGAATGTAGTGAGAATATAAGCCATGAGGTTATCCAGAGGGATAAAACTTAAGGACAGCAGAAAGCAAAGGTTGAGGATATGAGAGAACTTTACAGTGCTTTGAGTAGAGTGACGAAGCATTTATGGCTACAGTAGATTTGGAATGGAAAAAATGGTGGGAAATAAGACTGAAAAACTTGCAGAGAGGAAATGAATTTAGTCTTACATATCTGGAAAGAAACTATAAATTTTAATGTAAATGTAAATGAAAAAATCTTAAAAATTGAGCAAAGTAGTGAACTCTGAAGTACATTTGGAAAGAAGTTTTATGAGTCATGAAGAAGAATATCCTTAAAAAGGAAAATAGAATTAAAGTGAATTCTTAAGGACTCTGGAACAAGTTATTAATCTGAAAAAGAGAGTGATATATTGAAAAGTTATGGAATCAAGTTTATTTGATAGTAACATCTAATCCAGTCATGTGGAAACATAGAAAAAGAAGATGAAATATAAATGGGTAAGTTTTGGTGTTTAAAGAGTGATTATATTTCCCAGTTTCAACCTGTTTTTCTAATGCAAATATTAAGAAAGCATCTTCTCATGGTGAACAACATGCTTAGAAAATTAACTATACAGTCATCCAAAGTTAAGAATGAAAGCAGAAAGTCATTCTAAATTACCACAATTTTTTCTATGAAATAGGAGGCATAAACCCATTATTGACTCCATATTTATATATGATGTACTATGTCTGTGTTTGTATGTTTGTTTGTTGGGTGTATTTTGAAAGAGGGACACACACACACATATACACACATTTTGAGGGAATATGTGTTTGTATTTATTTATATATTTTTGAAAATCCTTTAACTAATATATATTTGTTCATAACCAAATATAGCCAAATGTATAACTTATATATTTCAGAGTTAACCTTATTAGTGAAAGTTTACTTTTAAATTATAGGTAGGTAGTACATTCCTTCTAAAGTGGTTATGTTGTGTGACT